GGCGGCTCAGCTGGTCAGCAGAACGCAGACTCAGACAAAGTGGCAGGTCTGCGGGGCTGATGGGTTGGGGGTGGACATCAGATGGCTTAAATTGGGGTGTGAGGGGGTTTGGGGGCAATTGCAATGGTTAATCAAGCAAATAAAAAAGTCTGCGCAATGGGACGCACATGGCTCGTCCCTGGAGACAGATGTGGAACAGATGCACAATTGCTGGGCTGTTTCCTCAAAGACACGCTGCTCCTGTAATGTGTCTTTGTCAGAGGATATTGTGAGTAGCATTGTTTGTATGCTGGCAGCTCAATGATAAAACGGCCAGACAGGATCCCCACCCACAACGAGAGCCCGACTAATGAGGCACTATCCACCTGGGCAAGATTTATGCAACTTCGGCGTGTACTGTATATGATCACAAATTGAGAAAAAAAAAGGAAAGAATAAAACAAGAAAACCTCACAACCAGTTGTTGCAATGGTTACATCTGATATTTTAAAAAGATAAGAATCATAGCAGCTATATGTTTTCATTCTGTGAAACCTCTCACCACACACTATTCTAACCACCTGAGCTCATGACTGCTGATGTGCGATCGCTGAGATATCAAAATTGTTTGTTGTAGGTCTGAGTAATTCTTGGAGCTGTCAGAAGCTGTGCAGAAACGGTAAAATGCCTCTGCAGAGGAGACCACACAGAGGGGCCGGAGCAGGACCGAGGGCTACGGGAAGGCCGCGGTAGTCCTCTGACCTACAAGCCACACAAGTTCTCTTCTGACTTTAAATAATGGTAACTGTCATGTTATAGTAGCGGTTATATGATGTTTTAGATGATGGTGTTGGAGTATACATGAGGTGCAATGGTGCAATTCGTTTTTAGATGCATATAAGTTCACAGTCTCTGGTAAAAAGCCACATTGTTCAATGGCGACAAAACGTGCTGTGTTCACCCCTGTATGAAACGCCACGTACTCCAACGCTAAACCTTCTTCTGTCGTACTCTACGCGTTTTTTGGGCAAGTTTGTTTCCATCCGAGCATGTTTACAGCAGTCTCTGCTGCTGTGTTGAATATATCACATGCAAGGGGAGGGGCCAAGGGGGAATAGAAGTAGGCAGGGGCAAGCGCAGAACAGAGAAGGTAATTATTTCACTCCATACACACTGTTGATGCCCCAGGGCAGCTGTGGCTATGACAGGTACATGGTTTCAGATACAGTGTTTCAGGCTCAGTGTTTTCGGTACAGTGGCTGAAATGGGAGCTGTATACTGTATCGTTGCTGATGTTAATGAAGTGGACTTGATAAATGGAGCCGATGCAGCGTGGCCCTCTGGGAGCTTTAGAGGTGAAGAAGAGGCAATTAATGTCCACGGCGGGCCCAGGAACAGCATGAAGAATTGCAAGAGCTGTTCGGAAAGACAAATCAGACGCACCATGCCACTTTTTGAGGGCTTTCGCAGAGGAAATATATTAACGGGATGTAAAAGCGTCAGGGGATTTTCCCTCTGCGTCGCACATGGCAATTGCTTCCAAGAGTCACTGGAGCTTTCGCACCCCTAATTAAATCGACACAAGCGCCTCTTTTGCAGTAAAGAACTTAAGTGTGAAATTCTGGAAATATTACTCATTTTTTACAGTTTTTAGTGTAGTGAATGAGGAAGAAGACGATTTGGACATAAGCTAGCAAGAGCCAATTCCTTATGTGGGAATTTGCGCCGAAACAAGGGCAGATGCCCTTTTGCGCTAAGAACAAATTAAAGCATCTGATTGGTTTCATATGACTCAAATATGGATTTAGAAAGACACATTTTTAACATTTGGATCATAGAGAGCACTAAAACATAGATTTTACTAAAGCCTAAAAATGGTGAGTCACTGAGCTAGAGGAGTTTTTAATGTAAGTTAATATAGAAGTCCATCCGTCCATCCATCTTCTTTCGCTTCATCCGTTGCCGGGTGTCAATTTAGAAGTCAATTTTGTAAACTTTGTCCATGAGCACAACCCTATTGGGCTTTATAGAGCTAGCGTGTTATCATTGTCCATCCATCTACAGACCATGGAGAGGTTCTGCTTCATCCAACCACTTTTCAGAACATGTATGTAAACAGCTAAGGTTATTTTGTTTGGTGGATCTGGTTGTTATACATATTCTGAAATATTTGACTAAATTATGGATTGATATTGCGCCTCCAAGGTTTAGATAATCTTAGTTTTATAAAGATGACGTCAGCAGACAGATCAGGCCTGGGACACTGTAATGCTGCATGTTTGCATGGTTTTGCACAATGACAGATAATGACTGGGTTACAGCAGGTACAAGCAGCACTGGTCAACATTGTTTTTGCGGATGTGTGTGTTCCTTCGCTCTCCTTTCACTTCTCTATAAGCACTTCCCACTCTCTGAAAGTGGAAAACCTGTCACACTGGGCTGCTTTAAGACAGCATGACATGTCCCCACTAGAGGCTACAAAAACATCTCTCGACTGATTTGTGGCAGTTTGCAGATCAGTGTGAAGAGAAAGGCAGACCTGCTGTGTGTCCTTAATGTGACCCTCTCCGAGTGGCACAGCTCTCAGAGAAAATCAGCATCACTCTCGTCTCTCTCACCCAGAGATCCTCGTCTGCAATGCACCGTGGGCTGCCGTCTAGACTAGGCTCACACACTGTGCACATTATGCCACTAATGTCTGCTTTCATCTGAACCACTTCTTAATTCAATCAAAATGCAAATTTTCTCTGTGGGGGTATTTCATCATTTTTAAATTAGATATATAGTGGTCTTTTTTGGTGTTAAATTAAACTAATTTTGACAGAATTAAACTTCTAATGGCGCTTTCAGACCGGCAACGCTGAAACGCACGTTCTCTAGTTTTCAGACGCAGGGGTCTTCAGACCAGAGGTCCTGGCCAGCGCCGGAAGTGCCGGAAGAAGCCGGCGGGCTCAGATGCTAACAGAGCTATGCTAGCGGCTTCTTGTGTACAGATCTTCTCCAATAATGAAGCTCTGCAGCGTGTCTGTGTTCAGAGACCCTCCACAGACTTTATATAACAGTAGTATGTGTTCACGGAGGTGCGCAATAAGTTTATTTTATTATTAAACGGTATTTCCGCATCGGCGAACACACTCGAAGCAGTTGCATAAACGGGAGCATGAAAACTCACATGTTAACAAGCACTATGTCCCCCGTTGTCAACCCTGGTTTGGTCCTGAGGTAGCTCCTGTTTTGGCTGTTTACAGAATGTTCAGTCTGCTCACTCAGACCACTAATGTCCCCGTGACCACTTTGCGGCTCTCTGATTGGTTACTGCACGAACGTCCCGAGGAAAGGTTGAGCAAAATCCTCTCCTGCGTTCCTCCCCTTCAACTTCCCAGCGCGGTCCGTGCGTGCATTCTGAGACGTTTGTGCGTTTTGATGCTGACTTTGCATTGAAAGCCGACGCAGCATGATCCGGTCTGAACGCGGCATAAAGATGAAACTATCAATAATTATCACGCAAAGAAAAGTTTGGGGAAAAATTGCTGCTGATGTCTAGACCGGAAGTGACATAATCTTGGGGGGTCTGGGTTTTGATGCTTTTTGCATGCAGTACGGACGTTTTAATCAGAATCAGAATCCTTTTATTTCCATGTGAGTAACAGGAAGTCACAAACTAGGAAATTGCTTTGGCTCTCGGTGCAAACAAGTTAAAGCAGAATAAAAGCAAGGCATGTATAAATGCTAATCTACATGAATTTCTTCAGTTTGCTATATACAAGTGCACTAGGTACAGATGCACTTGTCCGCAGACACAAATACAAGGCATGGGTTTCTTTTTGAGCCCCTGCGTACTTGTTATGACAGTAATTCTGATTTATAGGACTCGGTCAGGGCCGTTTCCACGGGCTCGACTACTCGTTTCGACTCGACTCGTCCCGGTTTGCGGATGCGGTCAACACCTTCCTCAGTTTGAGGAGAGAGCACCAGTGTGAGCTTGATGGTGCCAACCAAAATGAGAAAGTGGTTGCAGAGGTAGCGCTAAAGATGGAGGAATGGATATCCACTGACATCATCACAGTGCAGAAAAAAGTTAAGAAGCTTAAAAGTGACTACCGTGAAATGAAAGATCACAACAGCAAAAGTGGGTAGAAGTGAAACGTCTGGAGGTGGCTTGACCAAATGGATACAATTTACAGACATCCGCTAACACCAGCTAACATGCTAACACCAGCTAACATGCTAACACCAGCTACACCGGGAGAGAAGCCTCAACTCTGCCTTGTCCCAGCTCCAGATGTTGACTTTGAGAGAGTTTGAAAATAGTTATTATTACAAACCACAAATCCTATTTCTACATGAACTTTACCTAAAACAAAATTTAGGTTTTTAAGTTTTCTCCAAAACGATCTGCCATTGATTTCTACAGGTTTCAGCAATTGCAACAGCCTCCTTCATGCCAAAAACTATGTAAAATACCTACAAAAGCTTTTGTCTCCTTTTAAATCTATTTTTCTCAGGAAAGCCACCACATAATCAATGATCATCTAATTATATCACTGTAATTTGTCAAAAACATTCATCTGTAAATGAAACAAAATATATACTCTTTTTTTACCTTTTGTCCAGTTTTGGTTCAATCCATTCAAAAGGCACAGAGGCTAACTATACACATTTCCACAAACACATAGAAAACACTGGATTTTGTTTTTTTTGTCAAATATGAAAATAATGAGGCAAAATCAGGATTTACAAAGAGTGTGTCAAAATATACAGAGCAGGATCACAGAAATCGCCAAACCACAGAATTAGCTCAAAATGGTGAGTGTGACAAAAACGGCTACAGAACTAGAAGAGTTTAAGTCAATAGGTCCCAGATCGAGTTGGAGCAAAACTTTATTCACGAGCTCTACCCTATTGGCTGTATTGGGCTAGCAGGTTAGCATTGTCCATCTACATTCTTAAATAATAATACCCACTGTGATGAATAAAGCTTTATCTTATCATATTTGTCATATTCAGTCTACAGGACTTACCTGTCCTGAGACTGCTCCTCGTACATCCGCTCCTTGCCCTCTTTGAAGAGTCGGATGGCCCGTTTGGACTTCTTCATCAGGCTGTCGATGTAGATTTTAAAGTACTCGTTTTCACTGAGCTGTGTGAGATTCTGGTTCTCCTCGTACTTTCCCAGAATGAGTCTGAGGTGCTGGTAGGCATCAGGTAAAATATCCAGAATATAGGGGGGGCTGTTCTTGAGCTGCAGCCTGGGGTTCTGACACAGGCGGACCTACAGGCAGATCATATGTGAACACTATTAGACTTCCACAACTAAAGATGACCACAAATAAAAAACTACTGGGATGTCTTAGTCTGTCATTTAAAGGTCCCATACAACGCTTTTTGATGTTCTCTTTAAACATTGTTTTAGTGCTAGTTGGCCATAACACACAAACTGCAGTCGGTCCGAGAGGGAGTCGATGGTCCCTGCAGTAAGGGGACTGTCCTCCATCTTCCCCCGCAGCAGTGCCGGCCTGATGGTGTTGAAAGCACTGGAGAAGTCAAAGAACATGACCCTCACAGCGCCCCCTGCAGGCTCCAAGTGGGAGAGCGTCCGCTGCAGGAAGTAGATGACGGCGTCCTCTACTCCGATGTTGGGTCTGTAGGCGAACTGCAGCAAGTCCAGGGTGGGGCTGACCACGGAGCGGTGATGGGTGAGGATGAGCCGCTCCATGGTCTTCATCAGGTGGGAGGTCAGTGCGACTGGTCTGTAGTGAGCTGGTTCCTCACCTGGTCCGGAGTGATGGAGAGGGGAGAGTGAAGGGGAACGGGGTGTACTGTCAGAGATAGGGGCAGGGGATGTGGGGGCAGGGGGCTTGGGGCAGTTGAACTTGTGATGCAATACTGACATTTTCCCACAGTGTGACGAATAAAGGATCTCTTAATTTGAACACACTCATTTCCCCTTTGTTGTAAGCGTAGGTGTAAAAGTGTGGACGTACAGATGAAACTCCGAAAATCAGTGTAATGTTCAAGAGACCCTTTACTTCTGTGATTCAACTTATATTGGGAACTAATATATGACAGACTCAATAGCGAACTATCTAAATGACGTCACTAAGACACGCCCCCGCCGCCTGTCAACTCCCGCCCACATGTTTCGGACAAACACTGCCGAAATGAATCAAATACCACTTGTCACTTTAGACGAAAATGATATACCAGGGGCAAAATTCCACCATCAAACCATCAGGGATCATAGTGTAGACCAATTATAACGTTGGCTTGAATGTCGTGGTCTTCCAGTAGAAAGTTTGAGTTGATAAAAAGATAATGGTGAGGATTATGCTAACATTATCTAGTCATTTAAATTGCAATGCTAGCGCCTTCTTTGTTTGTTTTGCTGTGATTAACTTCCATTTATCAAGTTGTTTTTGCACTATCCACTTTGTAATTAGTTTGATCATTAGTTAGCTACAGTCAGCTGATATTATAATAAATCCATGATCACAACGGGTTACGCCACTGTCTCTGAGAGAAACTATCAGAGCTAGCCACACTCAGTAAACGCAAATGACAATCAATCAACACATTTAAATGTTAATGGGAGAATACATTATACACATTCATAACACAAGTGCACGGAGGTTTTCAGAATTAACGACTGCTTTTAGGTTTTCATGACAAAAATACTTTTTTTTAAATAAACCTTTCGGCAATGCGACTAAAGCGATCGCTTGAAAAAAATCCCTCTCATCTTTCTTCAGGTGTGAGAATTGTATACTTTCTGGATTAGGACAAACAATACTAATATGGATTGATGGGGGTAAATGGTGTAAAGATAAAGTTTGTGCTAACTACATTCAGAAGAGCTCAGACGGACCTGATACAGCGGTCCAGATCCAGTCCCAGCTAAACGTAGCTAGGACTGGATCTGGATACTCCACAGTTGGTCCAGCGAAGTGTTTTGAAAAAAACATGTGCCCTTTTTAACCTTTTCATGAGAGAAATTCTGCCGACCACAAGCACCCACCTGGTCTGATCTGGATCTGGTCTGGTCCTGGTCTGGTCCGATGTTGTGGTTTAACGAACGGGTTGAATGTTACTTTCATATAGTCCTTTTCAGAGTATCTGAAATCGCTCCGACAAGCACCATAACTGCAGTGTTTTGTTGTCACCATGATTCAATGATTTAGCCCAAGTAAATACAAACGCGTATGTGGAGAACACAGTAGAACTCAACGAGTCGTACACAATGTTTGTCCGAAACATGCGCGCATGCGCAGTCATCTGAGCTATTTTTAGCACATTTCGGAAACCGGACAGTGCCCTATAAGAAAAGTGACATACTATCTCACTATGGTAAAAGAATGAATTGATTCCCGCCCTGAATAATAAACTAAACAACTGGATTGTAGGGGTTCTGATATTTACAAGTTGGTAGGATGACTCTGTGAACTATTTATGATCTCAAAGACTACTTCAAGTTAGCAAGGCAGAGGGCCATATGAACTGACACAGAAGGCCACATTTATCCCAGGGACCTTAGTTTGGATAAAGCTTGTAAAAAACCCAAAAAAGAAAATGAAAAATATTTTGACTTTAAGCCATAATCATCCAAATGCAGGCTTGAGAGATCTAACTTTCCATGTACCGAGTCTGTATCATACCGGTTTCATATTTTAAGCTAAATTACAGAAATAAATGAGCTTTTGAACAATATTCTAATTTTCAGAGTTTCAGCTCAAGTACAGTAATCCCATCAATGCGGCTAACAAAGGCACTTACCACTTTGTCCATGAACTTCCATGTCTTCTCCACCGTTCGCCGATCAGCTGCAGCTTGTTTGGGAGGCCCCACAGCGTCCTGAATGGCATCTATGATCCCCAGGATGCGACCCTTACTACGGGTTGGTCCTCGTCCCCCAGGGGCTCGGCCACTGAGAGCAGTTGCCATTTCCTAAAAACTGCCACATGGACTTTCTTCAGTCAGATTATAGTATACACATTGATAATTGCCAATATGACATGCAGTTGAGTGGTAATAACATATGAATATAGAACAGTGGGGTAAGGGCCTTTAGCCCCACCGCTGTCAGACTGTACAACAAGTCACTTTAAGTCACTGCATTAGACTGAAAAAACCTGCACTAATATTAACACTTCTTTCTTAGTGCCACTTTTTGTACAAAATATATCCTGCGTCACGTCAACATGTTTGCACATTTCTTACTTTTTTGCACAATCTTGAGTGTTTTTATCCATGCCAAATGTGACATGTACATTTCTCCTGTGTGAGATTAATAAAGTATATCTTATTTAAAGCTGGAGTACCTAAATTTCAAACCATTTTTGATGTATCTTTAATAATACGGTCACTCGTTTTTAATCACATGCATTTGTTTTTGACCTCCGTTAAATTTTTAGATCACGTTTTCCAAATAGAATAGCGAAAAGAAAGAGGACCAGCCTCACTCAGCCAATCAGCTCTCAGCCCAAAGCGTAAAATAGTGACTCTCAGCCAGGGCTCTTTACAACAAGCATAACTACATTACTACCACTATGAAAACGTTCAGAAATAACAGCATAGTAATAGACATCACAACATTGTATTGGAGACAGTTAATAAAATATGTCCTGGTACTGTTGGGTCGGATTTATTCACAATATTTTTTTCTTTTTTATCAAACTAAAAAGTGAGGTACCCCAGGTTTATTCGTTGATAAATAACGTGTATTTAATGTCATGAGATATTGAATTTCACCAAGTAGATAAACATTGTTGCTAAGATTGCTTCTTTTACTTAAATTCTGTGCTCCTCATGGCCTTGCATGGATAGTTGTTTACAAAAAAAAGTTGCGTCATGGTCGAGGCTACAGTCCGGGGCTGCAAATACGATTATCACTGCTTAAGCCAGGGATATTGTTGTAATAGCATGTGTAACAATAAGTTAGAGAATAGGCCAAGACAGCGAGGGACATAAAAAAACATTATGAGCCAATTGCTTTCCAGCTTTTCCAATGTTTCTGGGATTCAATCAGTTCCAGTCGCAACTTACCGAGCCACTGGGGAATGTGCTGCTGGGATCGCTTCTGAACTCGCTCCACCACATCCAGCGCGCACAAAAAGGAGTGTCCAAAGAGTCCAGAGAGAATAAGATCCAGGAGAAGTGTCCAGGTCAGGGAGGAGGCTCTACACACTTAGAAATACGTCCATCTTGTTCAGGCGTGTCGCACAAACTCCGCTCTCCACAGTCTCCGGGAGTTTAGACCAACGCGAAGCTTTGTGTCTCTTCTACGCTACATGTTTTGTACAGAGACGTGTGCGTAAAGGCGCACACTGGCACCGCGCACATCAGCACCGCGCTCTCCGGTTTTTTCAAAATAAAAGGCGCACAGAGAAATCGATTTCGACCTCACCGCTGTTTTTTGAAAATTGACATGAAAATTAAATTAAATTAAAATACATTAAATTCAATTACATTCAATTATATTCATATTTCATTAGAATACATGCAATTCCATTAAAGTCAAGGTATTGAATTTAATGAATATAAAAGGCTACAAAGCATAGGCCAATAATATTCAAAGTAGAAAATGTAGAAGAAAGGAAAAATCATGAAATATTGCCCAAAAATAACAAGTGTAAACCGCTTTGTGACTCTGGTCTGTGTTAGGCAGGACATAAATAAAGATTACTTACTTACTTACTAAATATGCAAGTCAAGGAGTAGCTGAAGTTAAATCAAGCTTGTCAATACTGAAGCCTCTCTTTTAAATTAAAAGAATACAGTACTGGTTGTATGTTTTGTCTCTACGTTTCTCCTGTTATCGTCTGATTTTGTTGGGACTAGGTCTGAAAATGTGCGTCTGGCTCGACAGCTCATGGTCACGGCATTGGTTACTTCAAATGTGGCACTATTCTTTGTTATGTTCCTTTTAGACGAGCAATTGAAAACACACACTGGTTTGGCTCTCTGTCCTTTGAAATAATCTTTTCACGCAGAAGGAAGAACATGCTGAATGTGATGAATAGACTACAGTAACATTAATTGCTCAGGTCTCTGCACTGACCTCCTGTGGCTCAGAGAACACACTTTACAGCACTTTAGGACTGTTTATGAACAAATAAACCTGCCTTGGCCTCACCAAATAATATTCCAACCATAGACTATAGTCCTTTTACTGTGAAGATCTTCTGGTGCCTGTTCCTCCCTCGCCTTGGCTCTTGAACAGCCGAGCAGAGCTGCATGAGGAGCTGCAGAGTGACAGGAGAAAGGCCACTCCCAAACACACTCCCCCAAACACAGGACCAGCGAGCCGGAAGTGACACCAGGAGAGTGGGAGTCACAAACATGAAGATGAATAATGAAACTGGTCACAAGTCTTCAAACTAGCAGGAGCAAAGATGGAAGAAGGAGCAGGAGCAAAGATGGAAGTAGGAGCCGACAGGAGAAAGCTGCTGTTTGAAACTTAGGAGGATAAGGTTGTGTGTTTAATGGACCATATGTAAACGACAATGATACATGTTAATATGTAAATTAATTTGTGTTTTTCATGCAGGCTACATAAAACCAGAGAATGGCCATGTCAAAGTCCAAATCTAAATCCAAGAGATAATCTCTATACAGTATATAGTAGTATAGTGTAGTATTATATATGTATATTAAAGAAATGTCTATGTTCACCCTCCGCGGGCGGTTCTACTTCATGGTGCTACGTCCCTTAGGACTTCGCTAGTGGGATATCACTCGTGACCCCCAGGTCACACGCCAGAGAGATCAAAATAATTTGCTCCAATCACCAGCCACCCTCCTCTATAAATGCCCCTGCACAAGGCCGCACCCCCTCTTTCACTCTGGCGCCGTTCGAGATCTACCGCAGTACTTACTTCATTCTGAGATGTCTTCCTTGTTCGTCCGAGTTCCCTTCGCCCTCCGGCGTCGGACGTCGTCACTGGATCCAGACGGTGGAGGACTTCACCTCTGTGGGTGCCACCACGTTGTGCCCGCGGATGGACCCGTTCGTCCATTACGCGACACGTGAGTGGCCTAAGCCCCTAGCAGCCAAGAGGCCTGCTCTGGGGTACAACTTGTACTGCAGCGGGCAGGACTGGTCCTGGACCGGTGATCGAGGATTCAGTCCGCATGGCCCTGCAGCCCTCCGCATCCGTGTGGCCCGGCACCAGACCTCTCCTTGCCTCCGAGCGGGACAGGAGGTCTTGCCGATGCTGGATAGATATTATGCCAATGCGGCACAGGTTGGCTGCAGCCCAAGTCGGGGCCAGGCACCTTTGGCTTGGGCTGGCTAATATCAGGGAGGCGGAGAGGAGGCAGCTGCTGGACCTGCCCATCTCTCAGATGTCCCTCTTCGGCCCGGACATGCAGGCCTTGGTGGCGAGACTGGAGTCTGCAGCTAAAGACTCGGCTAGGCTAGCCCCGCACCTAGCACCGAGGCGCGAGGCCCACCAGCCATTACGGAGCCGGGACAGAGGCAGAGAGCGTTGGCCCGGGAGGCATCCTGACCCGTATCCGCGCTCTGTTGTCCATCGTCCCCCCTCGACGAGGCCCCCGGGTTCAGACAGACCCATGGGTGGCTCGCGGGAGCAACGCACCCACCACCGACCTCCCTATGGCAGAGGAGGTCGGGGTGGAAAGTTTTCCTTCAATAAAGGCCGACCGGCATTTCATCATTACTCGTTTATGAGTCTCATTTGGGGGTATGTAACATGTCTAATAATGTGAATTCTGATTGTGTTACTTCCCGGGCACATAACGTTGCTTCGCTAGGCCTGCGGCCCCCTGAGCGGGGTGTGCAGTGCACTACGCGAGCTACGAGCTCCGGTTCTCTGGTTCATGCTATGCCCTCCCAGAGAGAGGTCAGGCGGAGGGATCTGGTGAGTAATGAGGTGTATGCTTCGGCCGAACGCGTGTTAGCATCTCTGAGCTACAAGGCTAACACGGGGTTTCCCACTCCAGGGGCTTGCCCCCCCCCTCCATGAGGCAAGAGCCAGGGGGGGGGCACAGCAGCCGAGTCACGTGTGGTGAGCAGTCCCGTACTTATGACGTCGGGCCTGCAGGACACGTGACCGCCCACGGCGCTCACGGTGTGACGCAGGGGGCCCCCCCCCCCCCCTTTCGTCCACCCCCCCTCCCTGCTAGGAACACCAGGAGAGGGCGGGGCCGTGACGTCTCGTGTTCCAGCTCCCGTTCCGCTCCTCACAGACTTCTACAGCATCTGGAGGGAGCAAAGATGGCTGACATATCTATGGCTGGAGAGAATATGGCGCAGGGGTTACGCACTGCAATTCTCCCAGAAGCCACCACCATTCCGAGGCGTACGGGCAGCACGCTCTCAGGTACGGGGTCATTAGAGGCACTGCAAGCGGAGGTCTCCTCTCTGCTGAGTCTAGGCGCAGCAGTAGAGGTAGACCCGCAGGACGCCACCAGGGGGCTGTACTCCCCTTACTTCTTAGTGCCAAAGAAGTCAGGCGGGGTGCGTCCCATTTTGGATCTGCGCGTGTTGAACGAGTGCATTTCCAAACGGCAGTTTCGGATGCTGCCCACAAAGCAGCTCCTCGAGTGTGTCAGGCAGGGAGATTGGATATCCTCCATAGACCTGACAGATGCGTACTTCCACGTGCCGATAGTGCCGGAACACAGCCAGCCAGCCCAACGCATTGGTTTATCTCGGTCTGCAGTTAGACTCTGTGATCAGTCCGTGGCTGCCATTGTCCGTGGACAGACGGATCCACATTAACCTGTCTGGCCGGGAGGTTCTGGCGGGCCCCAGAGTCCCGCTC